AATACTAGGCCTACTTAGTAATAATAGGGTAATAATATCGATAATAAAGGTGACAACAACAACAACAATAATAATAATAATAATAATATGAGAAAAATACCAATAAACATGTCCCCAATAACAATAACTTTTTAAATTACTATTATTAAAATAAACTAAGACTAATAAATAATAATAATAATAATAATAATAATAATAAAAAATCAAAACTTATTTATTATTTATATGGTGCTGTAATAATAATAATAATATCAGCAAAAATTTGAACAATATATAATGTTAATGCTAGGACTAATAATTAATATTAAAACTAACGGTAATAAAAACAACAATAATAATAACAACAATGACAACAATAACAACTGCAATAATAATAACAATTAGTACAATGTAGTACCAGTAAATGACTTGTGGCCGAGTTGACTTGTGGCCGAGATGACTTGTGGCCGAATTGACTTGTGGCCGAGTTGACTGTAGCCAAACTTTTTGTGGCCGAGTTAACTTGTGGCCGAGTTGACTTTGGCCGAGTTAACTTGTGGCCGAGTTGACTGTAGCCAAACTTTTTGTGGCCGAGTTAACTTGTGGCCGAGTTGACTTGTGGCCGAGTTAACTTGTGGCCGAGTTGACTTGTGGCCGAGTTGGATCGAATTCGGCTAGAAAGCCAAGTCAGTGGCACTGTTCCAGCTTGGTGAAAGGAAAGCCAAAAACAATGGCATGGTTTCCAGTGTGTAGGGAAAATGTGTTGCATTGGTATAGATCCGATTAAACATGTACAACCAAATATCGCTGATGACAAATCCGATATTTTAATGTACTGTGTCGTGTTTGTGAATTTCTATAGCTTCTATCCGTCTGGAATACCAAGATAGTACAGTGACTATCAAGTCCTGACATGGCCTTCGTGTTTCTTGAGTCTGTTACGGATGTAAACTTATCCGCATTCGCATGGAATCCGATAAACTCCTGGCTGGCTCTGTCCTGGTGGCTTATCCTTGTGTGTTTGAAGAGTCCACGATAGTTTGTAGGGTGCACTATGAAAAACTTTAATATCGGTTTGTTGTAGAATACGATGTGAAAGCTGTCCCAAATATGGTAAACATACAGACTTTCTAGATTCCGTATCATCTTGGCTTGCTGCGTTTATATAATTTAATAATATGTTAGACTATAGCGCTGAAAGCCAGCAAGGCCTCTAAGTGCTTCACATTATTATTATTATTATTATTACAACTATTTAGCCAAGTTCTTGTTACATTTGATATACATAGCATATGTAAAAGTGACTAAAAACATACATTTATTTCCCCTACCCCATCTTAATTAATCCAAAATAGGATATTTTATGTCAAAATTTCAAAGTGCTATAAAAATAATTTCCCAAGCTCTAAGAATGGGGATTTTTTTTTTCTGAGACACTATATGATATATTGATTCAGAAAAACCAAAAATAAATTTTCCTTTACTTTTTTCCCGCTAATTTCCTACTGCACCCAGGCTAGTGTTCAACGAGGTCGCGATTTTCAGCTGAATATAATCCGTAATAACGAATTAGTTAATTCGTTATTACGGATTACTAATTCGTAATAACGAATTAGTTAATTCTTTATTACGGATTACTAATTCGTTACGAATTAGTAATCCGTAATAACGAATTAACTAATTCGTAATCCGTAATAACGAATTAGTTATTTCGTTATTACGGATTAGTAATCCGTAATTACGAATTAGTAATTCGTTATTACGGATTAATGAACATATACTTTATTGGCACTAATGGGCTTTCGTACTAATCAAATATAATGGTTAAACTTTAACTATATCATTGATTTGTATTTTAGTTTGTTCATAAGATATAGTGTCTTCCAAAAAAATGGAAAACTTCAGAAATTCATTTAAAATTTTAAATATCTCATTAACTTTACACCTAAAGCAGACGCTAATTGTTGTTGTTCTTGCAAATATAGGGTGATATTCTGATACGCGCTTGTTATAAACAGTAACAAAAAGATTGAATTCTTTGTCAACTGTAATAGCGTCTTTGTCGAAAAAAAAACATTTCTCATAAAAACTAATGAGTGGGTTCGCTCGTTGTCTTCATTAACTTTAAATCAATGCTACTGAGTATTTTTTCATTGCTTCACCATGGAGGAATTTTTCCTCCAAGATTTCAAAATCCATTCGCAATTGCTGATAATGTGACACGACCATCAACTTCATATTCAAGTTTTGCCATTGTAGAGCTAAGAAGTCACAAACCAATACTTACCAACGTCATCATTTACCTGTGTAAAATACAGAAAAAAAAATGTTTTTAGATACATTCATAATTAAAAAAGAAATATTCAAGTACAAAAACTGTGATAACATTATTTTAAGTCCAACATGTTCTGAAAAAGAACATGAAGCAAAAATACTCAATATCATATTCAATCAGTATTTATTACCTCTAGGTTAGGAAATACAACCGTTCCCACTGCGCCAAACAACTTCTAAAAATATTGGTTTTTTAAATCCAATCGAAGGTAATTATGATTGCCTATTCCTAATATTGTGGTCTAAAAGTATATTTTTGAGCCATTCTAAACAATAAAATCGCTCTCTATGAACCCACCAGAAAAAGTTGTACCCTGGGACGCCTGTTGTTAAGGGTCTCGGTACAGAAAAAAACATGAAGCAAAAATACTCAATATTATATTCAATCAGTACCGTATTTATTAATGTTGATATCGATGTAAATTATAGATAGTTGTTGTCAGTGAGAGCGGTGAATACATTAAAAAACAACATGCACCTTAGGAGTTCAACTTATAGCCTCTTAAATTTTACTAAGGTAAGCATTTACCAGTACTTAAGAAATACTGTAATCTTAAGCCACTTTCAAACAGAGCTACGTTACGGGAATATATTGCGGTAATCTTCCCGCAATTACCTTGTGTATGGATAGATCATTGCTAACCGCAGCCGCAGTTGAGATCTCAGACCTAGTGATAATATTTCCGTAATATTGCAGTTACAGCAAGGTTACAGTGTGTTACGGTACGTTCTTGGCGAGATTTATTGCCATATGTAATAGAATATTATAAAGCATAATATTGAATACTGCTACGTCTCTATAATTTTATAAAGACCTTTGTAAAGAAAGTCAAATTACCTTTTAAATAAAGAAGAACAATAGCCAATAATATTTTTGTCTATATTAAAGCAGGTAAGATAGTCACACTGGTGAAGAATATGGTAACAAATGTATTATACAACACATGTTAAAATGTGATGAATGTAGACATTCCTTATTCGTCCCGTATTGACTTATTTTAGTGGTAAACATGGTCAGTTATAATATTTTTATTCCATTATTTAGTAAACATAATACAGTATACTCATTTTCATCAACCGCAATCACTGAAGTGGTACGTTCCACTTACCTATACTCTGCTGCTCATTTCACTGTACTGTACTGACGTAATTTAAAAATGAATTCTCACATGTGTTGCTTTTGTAGCGTGAAGTCCTCGTTCAAACTCGTGTTATTGTAAAATTATTTTTTACGATATTTTAATGGGCATAATAGGAACTCAAAATATGCCACTAATTGTAAGACATTTAGAAGAATGGTGAGACCCGTTGGCTCCTCTGTCCTAAATTTCATTGGTTTCATTATTTTTACATTATATATATATATAAATATATATATAAACAGACAACAAATACATCTCAGCTTAAGAATACCTCAATAATTTTAAAGGTCAATACCATACACACAAGGCCTAATAGATGTTATTATTACCTCTGTTAACCTTATAGCATAATAATGAACGACGTAAGCTCACAAACTAGAAAACAATAGAATCGCATTCGCGTTTCAGGTTACAACAACTTGCTGAATTCAAGATTCCAAACGTTGGGCAGCTGTCATAACAAGCGGATGCCGACGAGGATTTGGTGTGATCAAAAATTTTCGTCCAAAAATATATAATCGTGAGTTTATTTCGTTTAACCATTATATTTTGATTTTCGTTTATAGGCCCCTATTACCAATAATGTTAATTTAATAATAATGCTACAGTTTATTTTTATTGCTGTTGTACGTATTGTAGGATTTTATAATGATTTTTTTTATTTAATTTATATTTTTATTTATAATTAAAGGTTAAAGGTTTAGGATTAGGATTAAGTCTTTTGTTTTAGTTCTTGTATGTGATTTATCTGAATTTAAACGAGGGACGGTTGACTCCTCTGAGGTATAGTGAATTTTTGCTTAAGCTCTTCTTGTTTTTTTATTTTTATTCTGTTTTGGTCATTATAAATGAAATGAAATATATTATTGTTAGGCATTTATTTTATCTAGCCATTTATTTCGATCTTGGTTTAAGGCAGAAGCGCAGCAGCTGCAATCATTTTTGATATGTTTTATTTCTTACTCTTGATAATGGCAAACAGTTTAGATGTACAGTAGCGCCAGATTTTTCGTTTTTGCTTTTTGATTTGAAGCGGTCGAGGGTTCAACTCCTCGCTCTCACTGGTCATTTCTCGGGTGTCCTGAAGCATTGCACTTAATCTGCATTCTTCTCTCGAATTCCTTCTCTCCACCCAAGAGTATAAGGTACCGGTACCTAGTTGGGTTGTTAAACTGTCTCTTATACACATCTAGATGTGTATAAGAGACAGGTATTTATTACCTCTAGGTTAGGAAATACAACCGTTCCCACTGCGCCAAACAACTTCTAAAAATATTGGTTTTTTAAATCCAATCGAAGGTAATTATGATTGCCTATTCCTAATATTGTGGTCTAAAAGTATATTTTTGAGCCATTCTAAACAATAAAATCGCTCTCTATGAACCCTAGGAAACATATTAAAATTCCTATAGGATACTTATACGACTCCTATATGATTCCTATAGGATTCCTATAGGATTCCCAAAGGATATCTATTGAAATAATCCTATAGGATCCTATAAATGTGACGAAAAATCTATAAGATTCCTATAGGATTTTCTCTTATAGGATCCTATAGGACATTTTTGTAAGGGTACTCTTGATAATGGCAAACAGTTTAGATGTATAGTAGCGCCAGATTTTTCGTTTTTGCTTTTTGATTTGAAGCGGTCGAGGGTTCAACCCCTCGCTCTCGCTGGTCATTTCTCGGGTGTCCTGAAGCATTGCACTTAATCTGCATTCTTCTCTCGAATTCCTTCTCTCCACCCAAGAGTATAAGGTACCGGTACCTAGTTGGGTTGTTAAATGCGCTGATTAGCTGTTACAACATTATGCAATACTCCCCTGGGGAACTGAGTGTTCTTAGCCGGTGTATTAATAATAAATGTTGCTGTTGTTGTTTTTATTTTTATTTTTATGGAGTTGAGATGAAGCTTGGCGGATAAGATGCTTGCCTTCCAATCCCAGTGTCCTGGGCACAGATGCTGTGACAGCACATGATATTTTACTTACGACTATACAACACATTTTCACTCGTAATGAGACTTTACTGATACACATTATTTCATGTATTTAAGAGGGCCCTGAATATCAGCCTGGACTATCACCAACATCACCTTTTTCATATTGACCTTGAGATTGTAGTTAAAAGAGGTGACCCAAAATAATCAGACCATTTTCTATATTGTTGTGGTTTTCCAAAATCCTTGAGCGAGAGCCAATAAAATCTGACCTTTTTACAGGTGACTAATCTTTAGTTAGTTAACAATTAGTTAAAATAACAAAAAGTGGCGATCTTAAAAGTTACCGGTAAGCTTTCACGAAAGTTTCATTCATATCAGTTGATTAGTTTATTAGTTATACCTAACACTCTCAGTAATTTGCAGTTATGTTTGTGTAGTCACGAAAACACCGAAACGTGACACACACACACACACACCCACACCTACACGACTGGAAACATATATCTCCTGGCGGATGGTATAGAAATAGTATGTGGGGCAGGTCTGTCTGCAAATTCAACAAATCTGGATTTAAATTTACCCCATGTCTGTTCAGTATCGTAAATTCCCGGAGTTTACATTTTGTAAACGGCATGATGTTATCAAAACGAAATTATACATGGAAAAATAATTAAAGAAAAGTAGTAATAATAAACGCTAAAATATAAATTTTAGGGTTTTTAAAATAATACAATACATATACAGTAATTATTATAGGTATATATTTAATTAATTATTTACAATTCATTCAAACATCTAATTCAAACTAACAACAAAATTATATTTTTAGCACTTCATTAACAGGTTTATCGAAAAATATTACATTCTATTAAATTATCAATTACAAAAACAATACAGTTCAATTATTCTACCTAACTACAACTACATAATTTATTAATAGATTTATCGAAAAATATTAAATTCTATTCAATTCTCAATTACAAAAATAATAGAGATAAAACTATATATAAAACTTTTTCATTATTATGTCATTATCGCATTCAATTATCAATTACAAAAATAATAGAGATAAAACTGTATATAAAATGTTTTCACTATTATATCAATATCGCGGCATTATATGGTTAAAATAAACTCAATGAGAATGCATAAAAATATGCATAATAAGAAAAAAATTATATAGCGCAATTCTATAGATCCTTTCAATGTTTTTTCTTACGTAGGGGCTACTCCACTTGTAGGCAAAAGATTCTTGAAGTGAGGAAAAATACATGGATATTTGTTATATTTATTTTCCGTGAAAAATAAGGGTTGGCCGTAGTGTTAAAAGATATTTTTCCTCGTTGGACGGAAAAGTGTCCTCTTAATAGGAGTGTCCAGAGGAGGTGTTATACTGCATATATAGGCTATGCGGTATGCTGTAGTCGCCACCGAATGATACAATCGCAGCCAAATACTTTTTTCGAGGGAACGAAATATGATTTCGATGGAACGAAATATTATTTCGAGGGAACGAAATATTACATCGAGGGAACGAAATAATATTTCGAGGATTATTTTGTTCCCTCGAAATAATATTTCGTTCGAACGAAATATATTACGTTCCCTCGAAATAGTTCTAACCATGCCCATTTAGGGGCTTCGTATGTCATTGATAAAGTGTAGGCCTATCTTTTTATAGCAAATTCGTCAGTTAATACATAGCAGATAATAATTGTGTTTATTTTAAACATAAACATCTACAGGCTTGTTAGTAAGTGCAAGTCTAAATAAACAATTGTATTTTTCTGTCCAAGCGTTGCAATATCCACATGCACTCACTGACCGAATCTTCTATAACAATAGGCCTAATAACCATTTTACTTGTAGACCTTATACACGGATTTCATTTGTATTGCTGGTTACACGTACTGAAAAGTGAAGTAAAACTACTACCTCAGTTACCGTAATTTAGGTAAGACACGATTTGTATTTTTATATCACAGGTTTCTCAGAACACTAGAGTAGTGGTCTTATTTAGGAAGTAGCGGCTTGAGTAGTATCCCTATATGAATGCAATCATGTTATATGGTATAAGCCTTGTAGGCCTATGAGAATTTCAATGGATCCTATTATATTAGCGTCTGATGTTAGGCCGACGTAGCCGATGTACTTACGCTGTGGGGCGGCTAGATTAATAGGCTTTGCAGCAGGTCGTAAGAAGCGGTTTGTTATTGGTCATGCCGAATGGAACGAACTCCATTCTTTTTCTTTTCCCCACCCACCCTAGAAGAGGGGAAATGAGGGGAAATATAAAAATTGTCCTTACAAAAGTGTATTGAAGTACTTACTCTAAAATTTAACTGACCACATACACCAGCAAATAAAATTAGTATTAATCAGTATTTATACCGCGCCAATTTGAAAAACAATCAACAGAAAAAGATTATTATTATTATTATTATTATTATTATTATTATTATTATTATTATTATTATTATTATTCAACATATTTATTTGAAAGTAAATGTACAGTAATAAAATTGACAAAGCATACTTATATAATGATCTACCATATTGTTCTGATTAAAACAAAAATTAAATATCATTGAAAGATAAAATTAATAAAACAAGTACAAATGAATACAATACTTAATTATACATGGAAAGTGATTAAATTAAATAGTGTCTAAAAGTGTGTTCTAAAATTTGATTAAGATTGTAAAATTATTAGAGAATCGGCAGAAATATAAGAACAAGTTATTAGATCAATTCTCCACACAGGTAAAATAAAATTGTGTAATTGCCGTAGTATTAATATACTTAATGATTCGCCAAAAGTTGCGAATATAAAAAAAAAATGATTTACAAAAGGATGAAACAAAAAGAATGCGAGAGATTCATCAAGAATAGTTCATCTAAACTATGAACATATGAGAGAGGGTGGACAATACATTACCGACATACGGCGTGATGGAATTTGTGTTATTGGGCTAAAGAAAAAAAAACACAAATTCGGTTTCGGTGGGATTGAATTTATCTGTATTGTGAGAAATCTGGGTTGAACGGTACTTTTTCAACTAGGATTAAGTTTCTTTATAAATGCATTCATTGTATTCAGCAAGGAGATTGTTAAAGATCAATGAAACGAAAAGGTATGTTCGTTAATCTCCTGATTTAAATCGTTCAAGCATATCCCACTTCTTTACTGAATTTGATTCTGCAGTTCGGACTTTCAGTCAAGCATAGCTACCTTTGTGGACTGAAAGACACATAACCTTGGTAAATACTATAATGCGCTTTGTGTCTGTGAGGCCATTCAAATTCGTGTTTATTCATTTTACTCTTTGTAAATTTATAGACTATGCAGAATTTGATAAAAATGTGTCTATTTAAGGTGCTGAAGGCAAATTGTGTTAATTTATGGCATACAAGCTTTTTAAGGTTTTTGAGGAGTGCTGAACTTAAATCTGATGTAGGCCATGCCAAGCTCAAAAATAAACGGAAAGCCTCCAAATCTAAGATAGCCGCCAAAATAGCTGACGAGTTTTAATATTAAATTTATACACAACACACTAAATTTCTAAATCGTTGTAATTTATTATAACGAATTCTTATAACGCTCCTTTATATATTGCTAGCTACAGTATATACAATTAAAACAGAAATACTTTAATTAACTACTGTTTGGCTTCTTGGGGGTCACTCATGCAATATCGTTTTGTCTTGCTGGCGAATCATGGGAATTCCCGATGGACCCGAGTAGAGGCCCAGGGGGATGTTTTCATTTACTATGAACCATTAGAACCCCGTTAGTATGTTGAATGGGGTGGGGGAGGGAATAATTTTGGATAAACCCCATAACATGCCAAACAGAACAGAAGGTTTTTGAGTCAATACTATGATTTGCGATATCAATTCAATTCAATTTATTCACATAGGCCTAATGCATAAAATAGTAATGATACAAATTAAAACCGTACAGTAGACAGGCAAAGCATTTATGTCTGGTGACAGCAATAAACACTTTAAAAGTGTAGTACCGTACCAACAGAAAAATAAATAATAAAGGTTAATAATAATAATAATAATAATAATAATAATGATAATGATAATGATAATGATAATGATAATGATAATAATAATGATAATAATAATAACAACAAGAATTAAAATAAAAATAATAATAACACTTTCGAAATGTTTCAAATGAAGAGAAATAGGACACAAGACACAACGAAGACGAAATAATACAATTAACTTTGGTGGCCATCTTGGTATGCCATAGATTAACACAATTTGCCTTAATTCGGAAGTCATATTTTTATAAAATTGACCCTGTCTATTACATCATATCATAATACAATTAAAATATATTTAAGTTCAGGTAAAATCATGGATAATATAAGTATGTTATATGAATATACATAAAAATATACATACAGTACCTAGAATATTAAAAATACAATTCTAAAAAAATATAATAGTATTAGTAGTTTTTGAAAAAGATATCAGAACAGTACAAACAACAGAGAAATGGTTATTAATGTGTTAAAAATTGATATAACTTAAAATAAAATGCTTATAAATGTTATCTTCATTTATAAGTTTTTAATAAAATGCGAAGCTGGAAAAATGCGAAATTGACAATACTTTATTTTTCTTAAGCGGCAGAGCGCGGTTATGCAAGAATGTATGTGTCTTGTATTTCTACAGAAACAAAAAACTTAGACTTTCGAAGTGCTCTTCCATAGGGGTTTTCCTAGCATCAGGTAAAATACCCATGGCAAATTTAAATGACAAATGTTCCCTTCTATATTTGAGCAATTCTAGTGCTTGATCATAGTGAAACTGTTAACCAAGAATAATCTAGCAAACGCGTTTCTCTACTTTAAATATTTGTGTATCCATTTATGCTAAAATGTTGTACAGCGCATGCGTGTTTAGTGATAAGCTTAATATAAATTTCAAGCCAATGCATGCCCAAGCATGGAGAAAGGTCCAAGTTAAGGTTGCTTTCAAGTCCCCTTAACAGAATCAAAGCTTTACAAGTTTCAAAGAATGATGGGTCGTCTGTTACGACATTTTCCGAAATAGTTTCAAATCATCCAACCGACCCAACGCGCCTGTTTGTGAAGTAAAGTGTGAGTGATGTCGCCTTTGTTGGAAGTCGTCACGCCAGTATAAAAGCTGTTCGCTGTAATGACGCATTTGTGATGTTTTGGCCTTCACAACCCAACATGGCTTCAATGGCTTCACTTCAACCGGGAAATGAGAGATGCAGCTATTATAGGAGAAATTATTGGTCGCAATTTGCAGTCATAATGCTTTTGATCTGTGCATAGAAATGGTATTTCCAATAGAAATGAGGATGGAATTTCACGAACATATATATATGAACGTATATGCTAGTAATATATATATATATGAACGTATATGCTAATAATAATGTATTTCTATTAGGCCTATGTGTAATAAGTTCAGGGCAGGCAGTAAATATTTCCAAATTGTTGTTCATTTTTTATTCAACAATGAGATTATTCCAAAATTATTCCAAAAAATATTATTATTCCAAAAAATATTATTCCAAAAAAAATATTATTATTCCAAAAAATTATTCCAAAAAATCGAATTTCGGTTCGGATCCGATGTTAATGCAGATTAACCTTTCTTTTAAATGTAAACTTTAATAGATTATTCTGTGGTGAGAAAAGAAAAATAAATATATGCCCATGGTTCGGTTCAGGAGAAGGGGTACAATGTGGAGGGGCAGGGAAAATTCCTCAGGAATTTAAGCATTCTAGCATGTCAATTTCAATCCTTTTGGTGGTACAGTGTATTGTTAAAGGAAGTTGGGTTGGGTTGGTTTGGTTATTCAGGGGGGTTTGCTCAAAAAGGGGATTCGCAGTGAAGTGGTGCTAAAGGTGGACCAGGGTACCAGTAGGCGCCCCCGCCTAATTATTCAAAATCTTAGAGTTACGGTCGGCAACCCATGGGTCACGACCCATGTTTGGTGGGGGGTCGTGGACGAACTTTTGAGGGTCGTCAGATCTCTGGGTCTAAAGAAATATTTCATAAGTATTATTACAAAACAATCAAAGCATCCCTATGAAAACTCGAAACAAAACTTGGTTTATGACCGTTTCCAGCGCCGTTACCAGTTATTGACGGACCTCGGGCGCTAAAAGGCACCTGTTCGGACCCAGCTAGAGACAGAGCCTTGGCGCGGTCTGCTTAGGCGAAACTTTTAATGCGTACATTACATTCTAAAATTGTTTAAAACGGATACGGTATTGTAAAGAGCATAAATATCTATGAAATATTCGAAAACATATTCAAGGATATTGAGAACAAAATATCGTCAAGTCATAGGCCTATATATGTTATTGTTTAGCTTGGGAATGTTTAATCTCTGATATGTCTCTGATAAAGTATTATTGATATTTTAAAGCCCCATTCCCGGCAAAATTTCACTAAAAAAAGAAAAAATGGATTATGCAATACTCTAATTATTGTAAACAATGGAAAATATTGGCATAAATTTAAGTTTTACGCAAATAGACAATTTCTCGTAGGAGCTTACTATTTTCTCGACGAATTCTTTGTTACTAGGCAAATTTAGAAGAATTGTAGATCGCATCCGCTGGAATGCTCTCACTTTTTTTTTTTTAGGTATACTTTTTATACAGTCAATAAAGTGCGCCCTCTTCGCATCTCGCACACTGCGGTTGATCGAGTATGAGATATGTTTGTTTGATTGTCAAAATCTCGGTCAGAATCATTTTTTTAACAGATTTGAAATAAATCCTACGAAATGGGTAAATCGTTTCATCTGGTTTCAAATAGCAATAAATATGTATAATTCCTTGTGATAAACCAATTATTACTCCTTGTTTTTTTTTTTTTTTGTGGTTGACAGTTTCGCCTGGCTATCAGTCGACAGGTTTCGTCAAAATCTATGAAGGGTTTCCACCGATGCTCGATGGTAGCGGGCCGCTCCAGCCGTCTTTAATTATAGTTGATCATATAGGTGTGAGAGGCGATGTGCACCTTCGTTTCTATTCCATTGTAGTGTTATTTCTCCTAATACATATTGATTCTTTAATTTTCCGTTTTTGCCACCCTTGTTCTTTATGTAGGCTATTGATATTCTCCCAGTCTGGTATGTGATTTTCTTGCGTCATATGATCCGTTACCGATTTGTGTAATTGTCTAGATGAGGATTTTATACCGGCCCTTCCCATACAAAAAAATTCTATAGAATTCTATCAAAAAAAAACTATAGAATGTCTATAGCATAATTGTTTAGAAAATCTATAGAAAATTCTATAGAAATAACTATAGAAGCCCACTA